GGCTATGATTTTTGTTAATAACTAATTGTAGCTGCTAAGTAGTTATAAATAGCAATACAGTCTAAACTAAAAAATATATTGTAAACAATTGTATTAGAGTATATTAATCTTATATACAAATAAAATAATTGTCTTGAATAGTTCTACAATATACTTATCATGCAACCAAGACTTTAAAAATTTAGATATATTTGAAATAAGGTGGATTAAAACAATTTTAAAGACATTTGCTAAAAGTTCATATTAAGATAGTATTTTGTTAAATAAATAGCTACTTCTGTATATATATTCAAAATTTCTTTTAAAATATTGTCAAAATCTTCTATATGCAATACTTTTGCTGTATTCCAAATTTTCCTTTAAGCTTTGTTTTAAAATTTGTATTAATATTCTTTTCAATATGCTATATACAATATATATAAAATATATTAGGAAATTTTGCTTGTATTGTATTAAAGATACTCTATATATATATTTAAATAGTTATAAATATTAATATTATTGCTTCACAGAGTATTAAATATTAAAAATTAATACACTTATTTATCAACTCTTCTCAATGATCTATTGAACCAACTTTTTAAAACAAAAATTTTAACAAAAACAGTAAAACTATAGTAGAAAAAAAAATAAGACTGACAAAAACTATAAACTAGTGCCTATTATTTAGAGATAGTTCTTATATACTATCTGCTAATAGGTTTAAAGCTTATTATTTACTATAAATATGGTACTTGTTATTTAGAAATAGTTTTCATATTCTACTTGCTAACAAGTTTAAAGCTTATTACTTATCAAAAAGAATATTAGCAATATACTTAGATCTACTTGTTTTATTATTTTTAAAGAAATATATATACTTTCTTAAAAAAAGTACAAGATCTATATACTTTACTATTACCTACTTGTGCTTATAATAAAATTTTTAAAAAAGTGAGTAAAATAGCTTACTCTATCAAAAGATCAGCATTATTTACTTCTTCTAAAATTGGACAATCTAGTAGACTGTAACTATGTATTTTGTTAGATAAACAAACATATCACTACTCCATGTGACTTTCAAGAACTAGAGTTAATGTAGCAACTGATAGGAGTTGTAGAGTTGACAATTAGTTTTAGCTTAGTTTTATTTTGCATTTAGAGATATAGAAATATTACATTTGCTATAAAATTTTTACAAGCCTAATACAGGTTATAATAATACAATTTATCTGTTGTTTTTTGTTTTTTTTTTGTTTACTATTTGATAGTAGCACCTTTTTACTTTGTTAGCCTGTTTTGAGCTTTGCTCTTTGTTTTTTTTTTTTTTTTTTTTTTTACATTTATTAGTCCCCTATTAATATTTCTTTATAACTTCACTTTTTTATATTATTTGTTTTTTTTTATATATTACTTCATTTTTTTTATAATATTTGGTTTGTATATTTAATATAAAACTTTTTTTCTCTTTTGATCTTGGTAGAGAAAGAAATTCAAAGAGTTTAAGCTTGAGACATGCTAACAAAATCTCTTAATTTGTCTTGATATTTGTACAATAGGTTGTAGCTAGACATGTATTACACAGCCAGGTGATGTTAAACTTGCAATTTTAGATAAATGGTCTAGTTTTTAGATAGTTAATCCTTTCTGATTATTGTAATAAATCTGCAATAAAGTTTTGGCAAGGCTGTCAAAGTTTTAAAAAAAAAAAAAAATTAAAAATCAATCTTTCTTTTTATGATCACTAATAATTATGGTTTTATTTGTATTCATTAAAGGTAGGGCCATAAAAAAAAATATTAAAAATTAATCTATCTTTTTATAATCACTAATAATTATGGTTTTATTTGTATTCATTAAAGGTAGGGCCATACTCAAATACTCACAAAACCATATCCAATTATCAGAATTTTCAAATGGCAAATACTATAGAAACAAGCTGCCCTTATCTTTAATCACACAAATACTAAAATATACATACTTGTAACTTGACTTTGAATAACAAGTATCAAAAATAAATATAGGTCTATAATGTTTAACACCTTTAATCCATAACCATAGTTATAAAATATACAGGCAAATTGATCTTCACCATTGACCTCAAATACAGTAACACTTCTTCCAGTAGTGGCTTTATATGTTGGTAACTTCTTTCTATTTCTTTTTAACCACATTTTATATTAACAGCTCAACTTCTCCAGGCTTTCATATATGATGCCTTAGCACTCACTTCAGAGTAAAGATGATTTATAATATCATTAGGTTTAAGTGTTGTCCTCAACTAATGGTGTAGTAAATTTTACAAGATACAATTCACGTGCTTTAAACGTTTCCAAAAAAGTTGGACAATTTTGATCATGATTAATTAGACTTATGATTTAAATAAAACCATCTTTACGCTTATTGGCAAAAACAGTAAATAGACATTTGCTGTCTTCATTTGTGAGACAAACAACAAGTTGTTTGTTAAGTTTATTAGTCCTGAACTTGTAAGGTGAAAAGGTAATTAAGATTAAATTCCGAAAATACCGGAGAAAATAATCGAACATGACGAACAAGGTCAGGGCGATAATTTCCGATTAAAAAAATTTTATTAAAATTTATTATATCTTTTTTTACATCTACCTTTTTCGAGAAAGGAATGTAATGTAAACTACCGAGTTAAATTGGTCCGGGCTAAGATTTATTTTGCAAAAATAATAGGCTTTTAAAAATGGAATTTAATAATTCATAAAGTAATCGAATCGGATTTATTTAATTTGATCGTACTCTTATTGGAATCTTTTAGACGTTTCAAAGAATCAATTTACTTTACTAAAATTTTCGTATGAAAATTTTTGATCATGAAAAATTAACAAAACCATTGTTTTTTGACCCGCCTGACTATTTTTTTTTGATCCACTCAAAAAAAAAAAAAAAAGAGGGAAATATCGGTCGGATGACCAAGAAGTATGAATTATAATAGTATTTGAATATATATGAAGTATTTACAAATATCCCCTTACCCGTAGTGTCACGAGAGTGACGGTAACCCAATATAATAGCGACGATCAAAAGTCAAACTACTGTATGCAGAATAATAACTATAATAAATCAACTATGTACTAATAATAACGTCATTATTACGATGATAGTCATACAACGTAATTATATAGCGATAATTATTAGTTTTCTGGAATTTTCGCACAAAGGCACATTTTGAATAGAGAATAATCCATATTCACCGTTAATATCATTTTAAAAACAATATAAGCGAGTGATTGTTAGTAATAAATCTGACTAGATTTTGTTATTCAATAGTATAACGCTTAACTCCGTGACACATAGCTTAATTAATTATATGCAGTAATAATAATAGTTAAAAATTACTCTCGAAAACTGATAGTTCTCTTTTCGAAATGCATGTTCAAACATACTATACATGACATTTCACATATTATGCAATGATCTTTTGTTGGTTGGTAAGCTAGAACCTTTCCGAAAAGGGAAAAACCATGGACACGACAATCACGTAATTTATTGCCTAATCGACACGGGTTGCAAAAGCTTAGAGCGAAGATAGAGCAACAACTACCTAACCAAAACGATCGAATTTTCTTATTGAAACTCAATGAATTTGTAAAAAAAAGTATATAAATATTTTATCATTTTATGCTATTCTCAATTGAAAAATTAGAGTTGATGAATAAAATTGTGACAAATACAAATAGAAAGCACAATCACCTGGTTCAATAATCATATTATGCAAATCGTGGCTAGAATAAACAAATAGGAAATATTTGTTGATTCATACTTTAAACACATTATACAAAAATACGTCTAGATGTATGCATTTATTAAATCATGAGAACAAATATTATATCATTGGGTGTGAAAATGCGCCTTGCATAAATGTATAAGCCTCGTGACATCACTCAACAAATCTGATTAGTAATGACGTAACTCATGAGTAATGCTGCGTGAAAATTATTTTAATCATAAATTAACTAAATTTGGTAAGACTTTTATCTCTTACTATGCAAATCGTTATATGTCATAGTTAAGTAATAAATCACATAAATGCTAACACAAATTAGTTAATTGCCCGAGTAACTTATTGCTTTACAATATTCCTGTAAAAGGAATCTAAAAGAACCTCAAATGACACATTTCGAATATTTTTACTATTTATTGCCGTAAATATTAATTTAGAAGTGATTATCAAACCCTTTACTATTTTCGTTAGCTTTTCGCTTGAATTTTTGATGACCATGGTATTGTTTCATCAGGTCGAGTAAAAAGTTCGATGATGCAGAAAAGTAAAATATTTTTTACACGCCATTTTTAGTATGCTATTTTACATACCATTTTAGTTACAGTATTTCAAAAAAAAAAAAAAATAACAGAGAAAAAAAGGTGCAAAAAATCTTGGCACTTTGGAGAAGTAAAAGAGGTGCCAAAAATCTTGGAATTTTGAAGTCAAATATAAAGCACGATTATTATACCAGTATAATATTAAAACTTATTATTCGATGCGTGAACTTGCGTGAGCTTGCGCTCTAGCTAATTCTAGACATATTAAATTATATAAAATCTTATGTAAAACGTTTATTTCCCGTATAAAACCTTCATATATGAGAAAAAAAGTTTAAGTTGTTGATCAAAGCTAAAAATTAAGTTCTGCAAGTTCCGGGCACGATGTTAAAACCTGTGCCCACGCCCGTCTTTTGAAGGAACCCCGCTCAATCATTACCAATACAAATTAGTTGTAACCCAAAACAAGATTTGAAATTTGTAACACGAAAATACATATAATTATAAAAAAAAATAAAGAAGTTAATGAATATAATAAACAACATGATCATACACAATTAGTATTACGTACTACAGAATTTAGGTCATTGACATTTAACTACTATTGAGTAACGTAATGTAAAGTCTTTTTTTTTTATATATATATGCCGACTTGACTTGCGAATTCTTACTCAAGTCTTTAATCATTTAATTTGTCATCTCAAACAAACAAAAAAAATTTATTATCAATGAACTCATCAATTAATTCTTTTCGTCTTCCCGTTGACTGTGTTAGAGAAATATTCTATCATTTGCTCGGCAACTATGATGCACTTTTCTCTTGTGCTTTAGTCAACAGATCGTGGTGCAAAACAGCTATTCCTTTGTTATGGTGTGATGTTTTTAGTGGCGAATCTCCATCTGCTGAAAAAAGAATAATGATCATTTCTACGTGTATAAAATGCCTCTCAGAAATTCAAAGGCAAACCTTGATAAACAACAACATAAACCTTCAAGAAGATTTCAAACCAGCTCTATTTAATTATCCAAAGTTTTTAAAGTTTTTGAACTGCAATAATTTCGATAAAGCATTACAAGCTTGGTGCGAAAAGTCTATTAAGCCTAATACTGATAAAATGGAATTTCAAAACACATTAAATATTTGCAATCACATAATCGGTCAATATATCTTGAATCACTCAACTGGTTTATATACATTATGCCTAGATGAACATAGCAGTGATGGACAATGTCTTATGCATCTTCCCCCAGATGTATATCCGGAAGAACTTTGTTACACTTTTTCGAAATTGACTGAATTACATATAAATAAATGGTTTCCAATAATCACTCAAAATTTATCAAGTGTATTACTATTTTTTGAGAAATTATCTTTATGTTCTCGTCGTATCACAAAACTTACAATCTCATTAAACCAAGTTGGCAATACTGCTTATCATCCTGAAGTATTCAAGCACTTATTCTCGCTAATCAATTCTCAGTGCAATCTTCAATCATTTACTATGACTTTTCCTATTAATTTACAATCATCTTTATTATTCTCATCCCTTTCAAATCAATCTCATTCTTTAAAACACCTCGAATTAAATAGATTTTATGATATCCCTATTTTACTTCCTTACTTATCATCTTTTAATTTAGAAACTCTGAAATTCGTTTATTCTAATGATCTAATTATACAACCTAATCCAAGTCCTTTACCATCTTTATCCTCAGAAACTCGATTTAGAATTAAAAATCTAATTATTTCTGAGCCTCCTGATTCTACACTCCATCCATTTTTTTCTTTAATCACAAAAATGTCTGGATCAAATTTGACGAAGTTATCTTTTAATGGTTGCGATGAAACTTTGACAAAAACAATAGGCGATAGTTGTTTAAATCTTACTTCCTTAACAATAATGACTAATTTCTCAATATTTGAATGTTTTTTGAAGTCACTTTCAAAATTGAAAAAACTCAAATACTTGGATGTAAAAAAAGCAAGAAACGATATTGAATTTACAAATGACATGAGTTTACAATTTGCGAAAACAATTCCAAACACTCTTGAAGAATTGGATTCTGATTTAATAACTGATCAAAAACATTTAGATATATTTATTAAAGAATTCAAACCACCTTTATCGGAATTAACTATTCATCCAAATGAATTCTGAACCTTTAGTTTTACAATAAATGTGATGATAATTTGGAAGAATTCTCTTTTATTGTTCATGATAGTTTTACATTGGAAGTTTTGTTGAAAGCACAAAGTGTTATACCTGTAATTACTGATACTACTGAAGAAGATAACATTTATCACGATATAAAATATCTTATTACTCTGGTCAAAAATATTACTATTGATCAAATGAACATATAATAATTTGTATTTACTATATATTTAGTATATATTTTAATTTTACTGTCAAATTAATAATATAAATAAAATGATTTTTTATAAATTATAATAAAAATTTTGAAAATCTACTATATCAGATATGTAGTGCCCGAATATAGTTATCAAGATAAATTTTCCGGATCATTCGGATTACCGATAAACATTATTATGAATGACATCTAAATTTATAAACATTTAACGGATAATTTATCCAAATTTGTGATAATAATAACGGAATAAATCATCCGGATATGAAAGACGTAATGAATATGTGAATTTACTTTGTTTTCGCAAGTATTGTAGTACAAATTCCTAAACAGAACCAACTAGATCAACTCAATGTAGACTAGTCGTGTGAAAAAAAAGAAAATCAGAAAATGCTCGAAAACCAATGCAAATCTAACTTAATAAATTAATTAAAAATAACGCGAATGAAAATTTTTATAGTATAAACATTAATTATTAAAAAATAGTTATTACTAATCTTAAAATACATAAGTTTTACTTTAAACAATTAGTAGATATTTACGTATAGTTATTATATGAATAGATACGTACTATATCCATTTTTATTAGCTAATGGGCAAGAAATTGATAATGAATAAGGATATACACACATGCTATTTGGATATATTAAGCGAATATTCGGATAAATGATACGAATTATGAATAAGTGCTTGGTGAACTATTCACGATGACTTACATAACTTATATGATTTATCGTACTACAATGTCATATGAAGTAACAATATTAATCATATGACATACCATATTTTGTCGTACTACAATATCATATGAAATGTCATAATAATCATTTGACAGAACATATGACATATCTTTTGAAATTATTCAATGTCATCGTCCACCCTGGGCTAACCAAATTAGCTAAATAGATATCCGGGATGATATTATTTTATTGAATGAATATAGCAATTAGTGTTTCACGGACCGAACCGAAGACCGAAACCGACCAGACCCGGTGTTACGCTCAATTTTTTGTCATATTTTATCATTATCATCGTCATTTTATCTATTTCTTATTGATTTGGGATTGTTTGTGGCATAGTTGGGTGTTTGAAATCCCAAGTGAGGAATTGAAACCCTAAGTGAGGGATTGAAACCTCATACGAATTAAATATAAGGGAGTAGTTTCGGGTTTATGAAGGGAAGAACGATTGTTGATTGTATTTAGTATTAATTGTAATAATCTAACGTATTCATTTATGTTAATAAAGAGGAACCTTATATCTGTAATTACGTGTTAATTTATCGATTTAGGGTGTTCTCAAGCACCTCAATCAATAGATCGGAGGCAAAACTTTAATTATTCGGAAATCGAATAAATGAATCAAGGGAGTTACATTTCAATGGGAAAATTAGTGAGATGCAGACTACTTTTTTTCTCAAAAATTTAAATTGATTAAGGTCGCTCAATCACTACTCTTACATTTTTTTTAATAAATGATGAATTCTCAACAAATTTATGACCGATCCAAAAAAATTGCTATTTTATTTTTAATATTAGAAGTTTTTAAAACAAATAGATGCCTGATATGAATGTAGTAAATACAATACGTCTCTTAACATTTAACCAAAGCATAATGAATACTATTATTCCATTCTTCTCTTATCCAAATTTAAAAGCTCCTCAGCAAGAAAGGCCCAAAACTGATGGGTTTTGGGTAGGTGTTTTCCCGTATCTAACAGATAACGAAAGCTATAGGTGGTTTCAAAATAATGCCTATGCATATTCCAAAATAGTGTCTGTCTCAGCCTCGAAAAGCAAATATTTGGTAAATATCAAAATACAAAACTCCCAATGTGCATCTGATTTACTGCTAAATATAGCAAATCGGTAGCATATTAGAAGTCTTGTATCTGATATTTATCCAACACCTATTCATTCAATCTTTTTATAATATTAGTAACAATTAGATTGCAAAATTAATTCTTTATCTCAAAATAATACCTATGAGCAGATTCAAAATAATGTGCATATAGTCAAAATAGTGTACGGATGCCTACTATTTTGAGAATTTATAGTATTTAATAAAAGCATTTCCAAATTATAATTGTATTAAGTTATTAGAAATAAAATTTTTTATCAATATGAATGATTATCAAACAAGTATTTGAAATTTTAAAAAAATGATAGATAATTTTATTAAATAAAATTTTTATAATAATATAAAATAAATAATTTATATATGCTGCATTTTATATAACTTTTGCATTGTTAATAATAATATAGTTCTTTTGATAATATTAAAATAAATAGTAATATTGAAGAAAATAAAAATTCAAATGATATAAAAAATAATATAATTATAGAAAAGACAAAAAGAATAGCAAGTATTCATAAAAGAAAATATTTAGCAGATTATTTTATACTGTAAATTATAAAAAAAATATTTAAAAATTTCTATTTGCTTTTTATATTAACTCTATTAAATTTTTGTAGTATGATTATATTATTAATTTATTACTTTAATAAAAGTTGCAGTTTGCTTTTTACAAGAGTTTGAAATTCTTCAATAATATTTTCTTTTTAATTGTCTTGCTTATTTTTTTTATTTTTTTTAAAATAGCCTATAATATAAAAAATAGGTTGATCTTTAGTATAGCTAGGCAAATATGATTTTCTATACTAAAAATTCCCATACGGATCTCCTTTAGTAAAGCTGGACAAACTCCGACAAGTATTATATAACTACATGACATAATAATTAATTAAATCAATCTTACATTAGCTTACTTAACATTAACTCATTTGATGTAGCTTTCAAGTTTAGTAAGCTAATATTAAGTGAGTTAATGTTAGGTAAGTTAATGTAAGTAAGTTGATATTAGTTTTCAAACTTACTTAACATTAAGCTAATATTAAGTGAGTTAATGTTTAGTAAGTAAATATCATTTACAGTTTGTAATTTTTTTTTCTTTTTCTCTTATTCACTGAATAAGAGAAATTTCTGAGTACCATTTCTCCCATATCATTTTTTTTTTCTTTTCATGAATCCAAAGCTTTTCAGGCCTTTTATCTGATAAAGGGCCTCTAAGTCCGGTAAGCAATTCTCACTTTCACATACTGTATCTTTTTCGTTTTTTCTATGAATCAAAAGTTTTTCAGGTCATTCGTCTGATAAGGGGTCTCTAAGTCCGGTGTACAATTCTCATTCTCGTATACTGTATCTTTTTTGTTTTTCTATGAATTAAAATTTTTTGGTTTATTCGTCTGATAAGGGTCTCTTAGTCCAGTGTATAATTCTCACTCTCACATACTGTATCTTTTTTATTTTTTCTATGAATTAAAAGTTTTTCAGGCCATTCTTCTGATAAGGGGTCTCTAAGTCCAGTGTATATTTCTCACTCTTACTTATCTGTTTCGTTTTTCTATGAATCAAAAATTTTTTGGGTCATTCATCTGATAAAGGTTCTCTAAGTCTGGTGAGCAATTCTCACTCTCAAATACTATATCTTTTTTGTTTTTATATGAATCAAAAGTTTTTTGGGTCATTCGTCTGATAAGGGGTCTCTTAGTCCGGTGTATAATTCTCACTCCCACATACTGTATCTTTTTCATTTTTCTGAATCAAAAAGTTTTTCGGGTCATTCTTTTGATAAGGGGTTTCTAAGTCTGGTGTATAATTCTCACTCTCACATACTGTATCTTATTCGTTTTTCTATGAATCAAAAATTTTTTGGGTCATTTGTCTAATAAAGGGTTTCTAAGTCCGGTGAGCAATTCTCACTCTCAAATACTGTATCTTTTTCATTTTTCTATGAAACAAAAGTTTTTCAGGTCATTCATCTGATAAGGGGTCTCTAAGTCTGGTGAGCAATTCTCACTCTCATATACTGTATCTTATTCATTTTTCTATGAATCAAAAATTTTTTGGGTCATTTGTCTGATAAAGAGTCTCTAAATCCAGTGTATAATTCTCACTCTCACATACTGTATCTTATTTATTTTTCTATGAATCAAAAATTTTTTGGGTCATTCGTCTGATAAAGGGTCTCTAAGTCCGGTAAGCAATTCTCACTC